TCAATGGATGTAAATTAATACCAGTAAATGTTAGTTACAACCAGCTCTCAGCAAACTGGGCAGCTCATCTCCTGCAATTGCGCTCAGTAACGTCTTGTGGAACTCACTGAAGGACCCCAGGGACTGTGGACAGTTTGCCACCCCTCCCTCAATCCCGCAGGATGGGGGAATGATGCCAGGTTTCATGGGGAGAGAAGCAGCTGCAGCTGTGGACAGATACCGGGGTTCTCTGGAGAGCCAGCACAGCTGTTGATTCCTGTGTGTGCTGAGCAAACGGCCCACCATCCTATCTTAATTATCCTGCCTAATGGGGTAAGGCGATTATGATTCATGGAAAATTGGCTATTGGCAGCTTGGCTTAGGAAAGCAGACAGCCCTCAATGGCACAGCACAAACAGCAGGTCAGGAGAAAGACTCAAGTGAGCCCAGCGCGAGGCAGCTGCCATGTGTGAAAGTGGAGGTCAGAAGACCTTCAGCCCACTCAGATACGGCTCTGAGAGATGGGGAAGTGGAAGTAGGGGGTATAGAACTACCCAAGTAGAGTTGAGTGCAGATACCAGGAGAACTGCTGCTCTGAAGCTCAAAGGTCCAGAGTTCGTCTCAATCCCCGCCCTTCCTCTAAGGAACCCAAAAGAGCTCATGCCATGGTGAAGTTACAGAATAGCACTTACCTGGAGTAAGGTGGCCTGAATTCTAGGTCTGACTCTGCTAGGAACTTAATAATAATAATAGTAGTAGTAGCAGTAGTATTAACAGCCTCTTATTGTAGAATTGGATACTGTGCTAAGCTCTTTACATAGATGATCCATTTAATCCTCACAACAGCTTTATGAGGAGGATATTAGTTTTGTCCTCATTTTTCAGATGAGAGGATGAGTCTCCAATTATAAAAAAAATTGCCTTAAGTCACCCAGCTAATAAGTGTGTGATCTGGGATTCAAACCAAAGTCCTTGTGACTCCCAAGTCCCTGCTTTTAACTAATCCCCTGAGACACTCATTTCAGTGGGACAAGCTCAGTTGCTTCATCTGTAAAGGGATATCCAGCCCAAAATTTTGAAGGAAATCCCAGAATGAAAACTATCAGAGATAGGAGCTGCTGCCTTCTGCATTTGGCCTAAGGGCATGGGGCCAACATGCTGGAGGGAGAGAGAAGGGCTCAGGAGTCCAGGCTTGAAGGTTAACAATGGTGATTTTCTTTTCACATAGTTTATAGTAAGGGCTGTGAAGTGTCTCCCAGTGTTTTCACACACACCCTTTGAGGCCCCTCCAGACCAGGCGTTGGATCATAGAAAGCCAAGTGTCCACAGATGCCTTGGGTCAGGTGCACCACTGACACTAGGCTCAAGCCCATCCCGCAGCCTCTGCTCGGCCTCTGCCTCTGAACCTAGTCTCTGTCTGCCTCAGGCTGCCCTGCCACAGGCCGCTCATGGACAATCAGTAGGCTTTATGTCTGGAGCCCACTTGAAGCTGCCCTAGACCCCAAAAGAAGAAGGACACTGAGGTACTGCTTCTGAAAGGGTTTCTGACTCTCCTCCTGTCCTTTTCTCTACCCTCACTCCCCACAGCACATCCAGATCCAGGAACATGAGCTGGAGAGGAACAGCTCAGACAGTTCTGCCTGGGTCTGAATGAAGCTGGGCCTCCTCTTCTAGTTTGAGAGATCTAGCACCGGGCTGATCAGCACTCAGGTCACAATGGGACTCACTTCCCTTCCCCGCTGTCCTCTCAGCCCTCCAAGAGCCTCAGCTGCAGAGCCAGCGTCACGCGCTCAGCAGACTGTTTTTTCTGAGTCTGTACACAGTCCTCAACCCTCAATCCATCATCTCTACCACATCTAGCCCATCTCTTTGTACTGTCTGTCTCCGATTTCTCTCTGCATTTACCCTGGCTGTCAACCACCAGGCTGTCCTCCATCCCCTCCCATGTGGCAAAGAATTGGAGAGAAGGGTGTCTGTGCTGGAAGGGACCTTACAGACTGTGTGGTGCAAACCTTTCATTTTATAGGTGAGGAACTGAGGCCAGAAGGCCAGCTGGACCAACGTCATGTGGTTGGTTCCAGGCAAAACTCTGGCTGGACCCAGGATTCTTGCATTCCTATCAAGGGATGCTTGTCAAGTTCTGAGAGCAAGTACCAAGCCCAGTGCCCAGAGCAGGGCTGGGCACTCAGGAGCCTCTCAACAAGGGGCTAATGGGCAGGCTGTCTTGTCTCTCCACTTGCTCTCCCTCTGGCTTGGCAGGAGGGAAATGGATTAAACAATGACTGCTGGCCTCATTGAGCCCTGCGATCCAGCGATCGCTTCTACTCAGTCTCTCCCCAATATAAAGAAAAGCTCGTGAGACTCAAGTATAGATCAGGAGATGGGCTTTGTAGCCAGTGAAGAACTTTAGCCCAAAGAAACAGGTCATATGTAATTAGCCACAGTTCCCAGAGACTGCTTCATCACCCCCTCTCCTACCTCCACTTCCACCCCTACCCACACTCCCACCCCCCGCCCCCACCCTCAGCTCTCTGGCCTTGGCTGTCTGAGCATTTGGATCTCTGAGCCAAGAATTTGCTTCTCAGAGAGTAATTGCCCCTGGCTCCCCCTCACTTCTAATCAACAAACCAAGGTATTAGTTCCTGGGAGCATGATTGATTTCCAGGGACTTGGAACTTAATTACATTTTAGTAAAAGTCTGTTTGGAATCCTCAGAGAAGCGAGACACTTTCAGTTCTTTGAACTTGCCATGTAGGAGGGCTTCCAGCATCTCAAATATTCAATTCATCCTTCCTGGGGCCAAAGGAGGGGCATTCTACGGCTGTCAGTTTTAATTTTTTCTTACCCAAGATCTCCACCCTCTAGAGCCTGGCCAGAGGAACTTGGCTCTCTCATGCTGAAGAATTCCTCACGTGGTCCTCCCCACACCAGCAGCCTCCCCATCATGCCCAGGGAACCATGAATCCCATCTGGGATCCAGGTCTGTGTGCTCCTTCCTGGTCTGCAGGCAAAACCAGCGACCCACCAGCTGCATCAAGCTGGTCCCAGCCTCTGGCTCCCATCTCAACCTCAGGAGGTATTCTTTTTATTATTCTAACCATCGCCATCTTCATCATTATTAAAAAATACCGTGATTGAGCACGCACTGTGAGCCGGGCACTGTAAGATACTTTACACACACCAGCTTGTTCCATAAAGCCCAATGAAGTAGATGTTAATCTGTTTGCTTACCAGTGAGGAAATAATGGCTCAGAGAGGTTTAGCACTTTATTCAAGATCACAGAGCTGGAATTGGACATGTTGATCTTTCAGTGATCCCATCCCTCTGGAAAATTGCCTCAGTGGCCAGTTCAGCACATTTTCTGCTACTCTGCTGACCTGCCCTGTCCCCTGTCTCTCCAGGACCACTTTGCCTCTGATCACATGACCCTTCCACCCCCCAAACACCTCCTTCCTTTATAAAATAGTGTAGACCAATGGGTGAGTTCAAATCTAGTTGCTGAGTATCCATGTCAGTGAAAAATGCTGTTTCATGAAAAGAGAGAGATAGTGTGGACAGCCTTGAGGATGCACAATCTGGGGAGAAGTGTGGACACTGCCGTATAAATGGGCCAGCCTGTGACCTCTTCCACCTGTTTCCTGAGCCTGGGCCTGAGAGTTAGAGTGTTGCCCTTGGCTTTCAAGAGTACCTAATAACATCATGAAACAAATGGGTCAAAATGAAAACAACTGGTAAATCTAGGTACAGACTAAACAGGAGTTCTTTGTGTCATTCTTGTAACTTTTCTGTAAGTATGAAATATCAAAATTAAAAGCCTTAAAAAATAGAGTTCTGGTTCAATTTATGGATCTATTTATAGTTGTTTTTGCAATCCCAGTCTATACTGGGCATTTCACATTAATGATTTAAAGCTCAAGAACAATTTTAATAACATCTATACAATAAAGCCACATGAGATTGCTTTTGAGATGACAGAGTGTTATAAATAAATAAATGCTGTAAGAAACAACTTAGGGAAATATACTTGATGACAACCACATGCTTGTCTGGCCTCCAAGAATCACATGAGCTGGATTCCTTGTCTTTGCGTGAAACCCATCTCTCAGGAGGCCTCTCACTGGAGCTGTCCCCTCCCTTGCCCTACACCCTCACCTATGCAGACTTCTGGATGAAGCCACGGCTTCCTGCCTCCAGTACTTACTCACGGCAACTGTTTCCTCCAGATGTGCCCCTCCCCACAAATGGGTCTAGTTCAGTGTCTGCCCAAGCCTACAGGGTCGCACTATGTCCCAAGATGTGGCTCAAGCCCTGAACCGTTGAGAGTAGCTCAGACCTGGACCCAGGCAAATCTACTGTCTTGCCCCATTGCACTCTGCCTTCCTTCACAGGCCCAGAGCTTCTGTATTACCAAACAAGATGCCAGTTCATTTGGAGGTTCTTGTTCGCAGACTCAGATTTTTGATCCTTGGATGGATTTTAGTGGTGTTTCAAATCTGGGAGCTTCCCAGGGGTTATGGATCTGGTTAGATTGGCACAACTCTTGAGGACATATTGGGGAAGAGGCCTAATGTTCTTAGAAATAAATTTACAAACTCAGATCTTTATAGAATAGTGCAGATCAATGGGTGAGTTCAAATCTAGTTCCTGAGTATCCATATCAGTGAAACATGCTGTTTCATTAAAAAAAAAAAAAAAAAAACAAAGATAGTGCGGACAGCCCTGAGGATGTTTGCATATCTAAGCAGCACAATCTGAGGAGAAGTGTGGACACTGCCATATAAATGGGCCAGGCCGTGACCTCCTCCACCCATTTCCATAGCCAATGTAGACACAGTGCCAAACAAGAACCCTCTGTCTTCAGATATTCCCAAAGGACTGGTAAGCCAGCTTCCAGGAGCTTGATTCACCATCTTGCAAATATGTTGCTCCACCCCAGCCCTGCACAGGGCACCCCTGCCTCTTCCCCTGACCCTGGCTGGGATCCAAGTCAAAGCACACATCAGGGGGTATCCTGACTCACCAACATCTGGAGTCCCTGCAAGGGCATATTCTAGAGATCGTAAGATGCCAAACTCCTCCAGCTGTAGGCATCCCTGAAGACATTTGTTCTTTTGAGAACCACCAAGTCATTGCTGGAAGTGGAGGAACAGAGAGGAAATGACAACGAAGAAAGCAAGCTGTGGACTGAGGTGGAAAAGGGAGGAGAATCCATGACTGCGGAATTTCCAAACCTTTCAGTGAGGATAAGGGAGAGCCACCTTCTTATCTCATCCCGCCCTCCCTGCCGGCCACTTGCCACCCCCATTTACATGGACCCATTTGTCAAATGGCCCAGAAATGTCCACAGGCAGCCAGATCTGACCTTCCCCAGAGAGCAGTGAAGGCCAGGCCTGCTCAGCAGCAAAGCCCAGCTCCAATCACCCCAGGTATAAAAGTGAAGAAGGGAAATAGCACATGGCACAAGGATGTGGCAGAGAGAAGTGAGCCTCTGAGCCTACGCCCAAGAGGGAAATCACATAAAGAGATTTTCAGGAAATCACATAAAGAGAGCACAGCCAGGGCCACCTTGAAGCTCCGCTGTGGGAGATAATGATGAAGGCCTGGTGCTTGGAGCCAGACACTCTGCAGGACGAGTACCCTTGGAAAATATGAAAGCGAGGTCAATTCCTAGCAAGACGGAAGTCAGAGCAATTTATAATATTAGGAGCAGAACTTACTGGAAGGTGGTGGGGGCTGGCAGAGGCACCCCCAAAAGGAAAGGGTATGGGAAGAAGAGACCTTGGAATCGGGCCCAGTTGCTTTGCACTGTCCAGAGATTGGGTCTGGCTGTTCTCTCATCACTCCGTTCTCTATGATCCTTTTCTGTTTCAATGCTTAGCTGCAGATTCTGATAGCTTTTTCTTATTTCCAAGTAACTGAGCAACAGTGCTTACCGTCTTTACCATACCCTCTCTCTATCGCATACACACACACATTCATTTCAAAACAGTGACTCTGGGCCTCTCCTTCCTTTTGAATAAGCTGATCTTTTTTCCTATCTTGCCGCTGTCCACAGAGCCCAGCCTTCCCCCTTCACTCTTGAGACCTCTTCCTCCTAACCTTCTTCCCAGGAGGTCTTCCTGTAACTGGGAACTGGAAACTACCGGGAAAGAGACTAGGAAACAAAAGACTGTGGAGGAAACCCATGAGTTTGAGCTCAGGAGCTGCAGACTTTCTATGACTGGCCTGAAATGACAAAGAAGACAGCCCAGCAGCTGCTGCAAATGAAGCCCAGCCCCAAAGCTGAGGAAAGGGCCAGGGACAAGTGAGAGGGAGTGAGCTGATATGACAAATATCATCATCATTAAAAATACTCCCTCTTTGGTATTTACTATGTGCTAGGTACATGGCTAAACTCCCTATCCCATTTAACCTTCAAACAGCCTTTAGGTAGGAATTTTCTCCATTTACAAGTGCAAAATCCAACTTAGATAGTGATGTAATTTGCCCAAGGCCACAAACACAAATAAGACCAAGATTAGAGAAATCTGAAGCTAAGATTGTCATTGTCTGGTCCCAGTGACAATCTTAGCTTCACTACTCGTCTCCCACCTCTCACCAGCAGGCGAGAGAAGGTAGGTGTGGAGGAGGAGCTGTGCAGAAACCTCGAAAGGACTCCGTCCCCTGACTCCATCACCAGCTGAGGTAAGGGCTCCTCCCCAGTCCTGTGTCTGGGTCCAGGCTCCTCACCTGACAGCACCTGAGATCAATTCCAGGTACATTTTTAACTTTTCCACAGCACAGATGGCCCCCTGGGCTGAGACTCAGGAACCCACCTCAACATCTGGTTCTTCTCACTGCCTCTTACCGTGATTTTTTTTTCTTCTCCTGGCCTCATTTTATCCACCATAAAGTGGCTGACAGTTACCAGCTTTTCCTTCTGTTCTACAGAACTACCTGAGAAAGCATCAAAGATTAAAAAGAAAAGATTGACTCTCTTAAGAAGAATGATGTTAGTTGTTGTTGATACTAACATTTTACCTGAACAATAGGAGATTCCTATCCAGATCCCCTGCCCCCTCAGCTGTGGGAGTGCCATGGAGAAGAATGAGAATCAATCAATGAGCTCAAAAGTTGTAGGACTCAGAAATGGGTCAGGTGCCCTGAAAGAGCACAACCCGGTAGTGCTTTTTTCCACCAGAGCAGGTCAAGACGCCAAAGGTCTGTCCAAAGCCAAGTGCAGGCAGAGGAGGTCTGTCATTTGGTAGAAAAATAAAAAGAATAAAATATGGAGGAGGAAGGGAGAAAGGATCTTGTTTCCTATATCTAAAAATGCACCAAAATGATCAAGCTTAAAAAGCTGTGTGAGCTGTTCAAAACAGACAAAAACTCTGCCTAGCCATGTTGGGCTGGGCTGGGCTAAGAAGACACATTCCTAAAACATCAAAAGGAACATACCAGTAACTGCTTACAGCCCTCAGACCCACCTTCTCTAGGAATTTATTTCTAGGGGGTATTTCTAGGGTCTCAGGCATGGGAAAGCCAGGGTTGGAGATTCACTTGGTCAACCACCATAGTTACCTCAATAACTAATTATCATCACCCCTGAGGGAGGGAGGAAGGATTGAGAGCCTCAGAGAAGAGAGGTTTTAATTAGCCAGCTATATGTTTTTGCACATATACAATGATGATACATCCAATCCTTCAACTAATATTTATTAATTACTTTGTACCAGACATTGCTCTATACTTCTGTGTGGGTGAGAGGTGATTAATATGTGGTCCCTGTTCCCCAGGAATTCTTGACTAGTTGAAGAAACAGACACACTAACAACTAGCCACAAGTGCACATGATGCTGAGTGCAGTCACAGAGAGATGAAGAAAGTGCTAGAGGAACATACAGGCAGGATCCAAGGAGTCTTCACAGAAGATATGACATTTGATCTGGTTATCAAAGGATGAGTAAGAATTCTCCAAGGAGACAAGAAGTATGAGAATCTTCTAGCAGAGAGAACAGCTGCAGCCAATGCAAAATGATATAAACAAGTATGAGTGATTTGGTTTGATGGGAATAGGGCCTGGTGTGGTGGGTGATGAGAAAGCATCATGAAAAAACATTTATTGGGCACTGGGCATAGGGCATAGGGCAGAAGGACCATTATGCTCTGTCCCTAGGGACAAACAAAATGTCCCTAATCACAGCCCCTCCAGAGGGTAGTCATGTTAGAAAGAGTACCCAGTGTTTTACTGGATTCCTAAAAGGATCATTGGGATATTTTACCAAAGTTTCCACCTCCTTCCTGAAGCTATTCTAAAATCAGAGAGATTTTACTAGCATTTGAGCAAAAAAGATCCTGGACTCTCCTCCCCCAATCCCTGAACTGAGGCTGTGCTGGTACTGGACCTGTTTACCCTCAGATACATTCCTCACCCTTCCTTTGCTCTATTCTGTGTTATGGTGAGGACAGGGGAAACTGGGCCATGCAGGTTACATCTCCCAGATTTCTGGCTGGATTCAGCCAGTGGGAGGTACTTTCAGAGGGCTAGAGGTGAGGACGAAAGCAGAAGTCAGGGTATTTCTTCCTCTCCCTCTTTGTTTCAACTAGCGCCCCTTCAGCAGCTGTGACTCCTCCATGTCCCACTAGGCACATCTACCCTGGTTCAAGTTCACACTGAACACTTCCGCCATGGTCCCAGTTTCCACCTAATGACCTCAACCTCTGGGCTCTGGTAACATCTCTCTCTCCCTTTGTCTCCCCAACCTAAGGTGGTAGCATCTTCCAATGGTTGCCGATTTCTGCATTCCCATACCATTTCCTGTTTGGCTTCCCAAATCTTCTATTACCAGTTTCTTATATTAAATTCTCTCTGTTATAAATACTTAAAGTGATCTCTGTCTTCTGATGTTTACCCTGACTAACACAGAAACTGCATTTTCGTGGTCTTTGGGTCTTCCACAGCACCTAATACAGTGATTTTATGTGCTAATTTGTTAGATGAATGGATGGGTGGGTGGGTGGATGGATGATGGATGGATGGATGGATGGATGGATGGATGGATGGATGGACAGGTGGATAAACAGATGGTTAATTAAATAGATGAGCAGTGGTATGACTGGATGGATGAGAGTTGAATGGATGTTCATAATTTAATGAGGATGTTTTAATTTCATAAAAATAAAGGAGTGAATTCTAAAAGAACTATGCAGAAAGTGATTCCGAGACATACAAAAATGGCCAGAAATTTAGAACAGCTGTGCTGCCACAAGTCAAGCCCAAAAAGAATCCAGCTGCTGGAAAAGCACAAGAAGAGAAGGAGACTTTGTGAAATTTATTTCTTGTTGCATCTGAATTGAGTCACTCATTTCTTCATTCTTTTTCTGGATCTCTTCCTATAATGGCAGAGGGTGGCAGGGGGAAGGTGTGTTTATGGCAAATAGTCCTAATTTTCATCTGGCAGATGTTTCCATCCCATTTATTATGCCTAAGCCTCTGCAAAATGAAGGAGATTTAATGGAAAGAACCTCATCACCATTGATTCGTAGTCCTGTACACTTGAAGAAGATGCCAAATGGCTACAGTCCTGGGCTGGAAAGAACCTGATTGGCCAGACAACTATAGTCTGTAGGGTTCTTAGGGACTTTTAACAATTACACTCTCAGAACCCTGCATCCTTTTTCTGAGTATATTGCCTTGAATAATTAACAACATAGAGACCAAGCCCTTCCAAAGCCACTTTGTTCATTCTCCTCATTAGCAGGGTTATACTGAAAGATAGTCAATAAAAGATGTTTCTATCTTAGCCACTGACACTGGCATATGAGAGCATTGAGCATCCAAGTTCCTGGATCTGCCACTTATCTGCTGAGTACCACAGCAAAGTCAGCACCTTTCCATGAGCTTAAGATTCTTTGCCCTCTCCTTCACCAAATGTTTATGAATACCAGATGAGATGATTGTGAAAGACAGTTGAAAACCATAAAACTCAATACCATGATGTCATCTGTTTTATGGTCAATCAGTTGCCTATACAGATCTAACCTATTAATAAAAGCCTCTAGTTGAACTGTAATCCCAGGTCATCTTGTCCTGTCATCTAGAATGGATCTTCCTACTGACAAATCAGAAAACAATAGGTCATATTAAAAGTAAGAAAGAAACAAAAGTTTACTTAATAAAAGGGACTCCCACCAATCAGATTTGTACTGATAAAAAATTACCGAAATCAGTGGAGTGTGCCTTGGCTTCCTCACCTCCTGGTACTCTCCTCCTTACCCCAAGAAAAATTCCTCATCTAAGGTTCCCACCAAAGACCACTGCTCTGAGTCTACCAAATGCTGTTCGTTCTTCTCATTTCCCTGCATCAGCCTCGTCCTCTTCCAGTGCTGCTGATCTCCTCTCATTGTCATAATTCAAAAGTGCTAATTGGGGCCGGGTGTGGTCTCACGCCTGTAATTCCAGCACTGTGGGAGGTTGAGGCGGGCTGGATCACCTGAGATGGCGAGTTCGAGACCAGCCTGTCCAACGTGATGAAACCCAGTCTCTACTAAAAATACAAAAAAAAAACAAAACAAAACAAAAAAACAGCCGGGCGTAGTGGCAGGCACCTGTAATCCTAGCTACTCAGGAGGCTGAAGCAGGAGAAATGCTTGAACCCGGGAGGCAGAGGTTGCAGTGAGCCGAGATCACGCCATTGCACTCCAGCCTGGGTGACAGAGCAAGGCTCCATCTCAAAAAAAAAAAAAAAAAAAAAAAAAAAGTTGCCAGTCAGGTCAAGTCACACTAAGATATAGTACAATGCAGTGGTACCCCTGTACTCCTCTCGTGTGTGGAGCCCTAACCTTCTAAAGGCTGACCATTAGTCCCAATGTCTTCAGATAATGTTTCAGACAGAGCAGAGGAGATATTTGGAGAGTGGAAAGTGGAAGAGAAGGCCTTTAAGAAAGCCCCAGTTACACTTCTAGGAACAAATTATTCAGACTCAAAGTAAGCCCAAGTGGTACTGAGGAGAATCTTTCCTTCCTTCTACTCTTCTTTCTCCCAGCCCAATTCAAAGTTGTAAGTCAGAAGTAAATTTCTCCAGAGGATTTTTACCCCCTCATATCTAAGGGGATACAGATGTAGGTTCTTTGTGTTGACAGCTCTTGGAAGGGGAGCAATTTCCTGCCTATCCAAGACCAGTTTGTAGTCAACTCCCAGGCATTCTCATGAGGACGAACCATTTTATAAAACTTCTCTGAGTTCATGCCAGGCTGGCCTCCCCTGCCATACTGTCTGTGCCCTTGCTTCCTCTCTGCACCATGGGTTAGTGATTGTTCAACGCATAAAACTACTTTTCGGATTAGCTACAACAAGGCATAAGGAAATAAGGATGTCTGTTGGCACTGACTCATACCATGTATTGCAGAGCCAATTTAAATGATCAAGTCAATCAGTAGTTACTTATTGAGCATCAGCCAGCTATTCTCTGCTCAGAATATGCACTCCTCACTTCCCCTTCACAGCCCTTTTTGAGACCCTCCCCTTACTGACCCCACCACCACCATTATCACTATCACTAATAATCAATTTGACACCCCTCCAGGAGCTGCCCAGAATTTCAGCACTGCATGTCAAACTAAGTGGGGGTGAGGGTGGGGGTTAACTGGCTTCCTTTTTCTCCCTTCGCCAGAAGCAGATGGGAAAGGTGGGAGGAAAGGGATTGCTTATTTTCTAATCTTGCCCAAAGCCATCTCTATTTTGAGGGTCAGTTCCCTCCATCCTCATCCCAAGCCCAACATTAACTTGACTGACAGTGGCCCCCATCTCAGCATAGTTCCAAGAGGCTCTAACTGACCTTGTTTACGTTGCATGGAAATGCCTCTGCACTGCAGAACTTTCAGTTTCAGGATTTTGCAAATTTTATGAGAATTTTCAGACAAGCTGATTTTTAGCTCCCCCTTTCCCCTCCAGCTAAAATCAAGATCTTTCATCCAGCTCTGATCTCAGAGGGACTTTTTTCTCAGCACTTAGGACATGATTAAATAACAGGCACGCGTGCACATACCAGCCCAAAACCCTTTTATTTCCCAGATCTTTCTTCAGTAACGAAGCCTGAAATGGAAAACTACTGTGCAAAGAAACTGTAGCTGCAAGAGGAAGAGGAATAATCAACATGCCAGCCCGGCTCCTTCTGGAGAGCGAGGTGAGAAGTTTGCTTCCGAAACAAGGGCAAATAAAATGTATGTATCAAATGAAAGCCTTTCCAAGGAGAACTTTGGGAGGTTTAGTGATTACTAGTTGGGGGTCCATTAGCTGTAGATAAGGGGGAGTTAGGAAACATCTATCTTCCATATTCTCCAGAGAGCCTGAAAGGGTAAGAAGAGCACTGGCTGCCAGGAGCATTGTTTTCATTGTCCAGTTGATGTGATCATTAACTCTTCCAATTATGGCAATATAAAGAAATCATTAAAATGCAATTATTACAGTTGTATAAGTTTATAGCTGCGTAACTACATCAAAAGGCCACCTTTGCAGGTCTTTATGTGCTCCATAAACCTGAATAAATTGCAGCAAAGAGAAAAAGATTACTTCAATATGAATCAAAAAGCAAATTCAAAAGTTTTGTGCTACTCTGTGGAGATAGCAGCAATGAATGGCTTGGGTCCTTCATGACCCCTGGCCTGCTAGGTGCCTACAAGAGTTTTCTCTTTGCTCTAGGTTTGCATCTGCCATGACCTGTCTTTGGTCAAACTGAGCCAAACAAATGAAAGCCAATTAAGTGCTTTAAAAAAAAGTTATCACTACCTCATACATTTATATAATGTTGTATAGTTCTCACATTTAACAACTTTATGGCACGATAAGATAATTAGCCCCATTCAATAAATTAAAAGCTAATAATCAAATAATTTTTAAGGAATTTGTCTAAGGTCACATGGTGGGCTGGATACCGTCAGTTTGTCCCCCACTACCCCACCCCAGACCCACTCTCCGCCCTTCTCCACCCTGCCCTGTGCCCTAGGAGGCTGACTTCTAGGGAGTGCATCCATAGGTCCCCTACCCTCTGATTTAGAGTTGGATTAGGCCAGTGGGAGGCAATAGCAAGAAAACAGAGGATGGGAGAAGAGAGAAATTGGGATTTTTTCCTCCCCTCACCCCTCCTTGTGGGGTTGTAGTCCGGCAGTGACCACTCTCCTCTGTCTACAGCCTCAGGGGCTGTCAGGCAGCCCTCTCTCAGTGATAGCCAGGGGCCTCTCCAGGTTCTGACCATCGGTCCCTCCCTTTGTTCCTGCAGGCCTAGAGATGGTAGCAGTGTCCCTGATATTGCTGGTCCCAGAGAGCATCACCATTCCTGGTTGATTTCCCTTCCCCCTGATGCATATCCCTTCTTTAAACCCTCTTCATTGTTTCTTTTGAATGTGCTCATCGTTTCCTGCGAGGTCTCTGACTGCGACACACAACTAATGAGTGCTGGGACCTGGACTAGAACCCAAATCATCAAAAACCCTAGGAGTCCAGGCCTCAATAATTTAGAAAATTTAATTTGCTCCAGACTCAGACATGCTAATTGTCATCACCATCAAAGTTCTACTTATTTTACTTGGCACTGTGCTGGGCCACTTACAGAGAGAATTATAAGAAGAAAAACCCTGCCATCCAGGAACCTTCATGCTGAGTCAAGCACACTGAGATAAACTACTACGTATAGTACATGCATGGGACAGAGACATCCCAAACTACTGCCTGGGTAGACAGTGATGGGTTGAGAGGTCATTGTGTGGAGTGAGGGTAAATGCATTGAGAGTCGAGGACTGAATATCTAGAAAAGCAGATGTTCTGTTTCCAAACTGGGTAGATGAGAGCAATTGGTCAGATCATTCAAAATTGCAAATGATCCTGAAACATTTCTATTTGGCCTAGACATGCATAATTAGACAATATGTCTTTGATTTGTTTGGGGATTTCTGCTGCAGATATGCCTACCTAATTAATTTTTATTAGACTAATAGTGAAGAGAGTTAATATTCTTGAAGTTCACACACACCACTGCCACCTGGGAGGTAGAAACAAAGGAATTTGGCCTCTAGTGCTCCTGAAAGTGGGCTAAAGAACAGATTACCGGTACATAGCCCACCATAGTCCACTGCCCACTTTTACGTAGGCCTGAAAACATTTTCACTCTGTAAGACCTGAGATCACGGGTTGTGAAATGCAGTTCAGCTTCTCAGGACACAGCAGGCCCTTGCTGATCTACATGGCTCTATACTCCTTCCTCTGAGGATTCAAATGCCTCAGAATAGCAACTTGGATCATAGACAGAGGCAGCAGTAAAAACCTGGTGTGGCTGGAGGTCAGAAGACCCTGGTTCTTGTCCATCTAAGTTAGGTCTCTCTGAGGAAGTCTCTGAGTTTTGCTGAATTTTAGTGTTCTATGTTTTAAGATGGAGAAAATAATACTTACATCAAGAGTTCAAGTGAGACACTGTGCCTGGCCTTTAGAGCACTCGCAATGATGAGCAAATGCTTTGTAAATGCTAACTTCTATATGTCAGCAATATTAGTATAGACTTTTAGTGTTGGAATCAGTCTTGCTCAGTTTGCAGGTAAGTTATACTGAATTCCAGCCATTGTAAGTTAATAGTGCTCTGATTTTTCCTTTTACGAATAATGACAGCTAATAGTTCTATGGTGCTTACTATCCACCAGACTATATTCTAAGCACTTTACAAAGATAAAACCATTTAATCCTTGCAATTACCCTCACAAAATAGGTACTATAATGGTCTCCATTCTAGAGGTGAAAAACCCAGACTCAGAGAGGTCACATAGCTAATAAGTAGTAGGGCTGGGATTCAAATTCTGGGTCTGGTTCCAGAATCTGTGCTCTTTACCACAGTACCCTTTTGCCACAAGAATTGCTGGGCAGCAAGGGAAAACCTAGTGTGCCAGAAAAATAATACAAATTATATGGTATCAGAGAGCTTTCTGGCTGAAGTGATGGAAGAAATTGTGCACAGAGAGATAAGATGGAAGAGGAACAGAGTAAGCAAAGGCATAGAGGTGGGAAGCTGCAGGATATATATAAAAAAAAACAGCAAGTAGTTCCATCTGGGGTCATGAAGAGGCTTATGGGAGACAAGAAGTAACATTTTGAAGATGGGTTACAGTGAGGCAACCCCAGAATTTTCGGCTAAGCTACATAGACTTTTTTCCTCCCTAGAGGGAATGGGGAGCTGCTAAAAGTGTTTGGGCAAGAGTTCAACAGGATCAGAATTGTGTCCGAGAAAGAGTTAATGTGACAGCTGTGTGTAGGATGGTGCCAAAGGCAGAGACTGCAGGCAGGCAGACCACGTGTCCCAACCATCTAATGGGCTGCTCTCCACCCACTGAGATAAGTAAAGACTTGTTGACTGACTGACAGATAGGCTGATTGACACACTGCCTCCAAACCATAAACCATCACCATCAGAGAACCCCTCCTTCATCATCAACCCACAATGGCAGCTCTGCCTGAAAGTAGGCAAGGACTCTGAGGCTAAAGTGATTGGACAGAGCCACAATGCTGTATTTGTAAACGGAGAAGGGCCAAAAACTAGGAGACTCTTTCCCCACCAAAAACACCTCGAAGGAGGGAGACCAATAGCAAGAGAAACACCCCCCAGTGAATGGAACGGAACCCCAATTCTTTTTCCTTTTTTCTTGTATTCCTTCATCATGAAGGGAAAATGCATGGCAGCTGCGTAAAAAATGATGGTTTTATTTCCACATGTGAGGTTGTCAGGGAATTTGGCTATAACCTTTTATTAGACATTAATAATTTAGAAAAGGAAGAAGCATTCCCCAGTCAAATCTAATCTCGCACAAATAAATACTTTGCAGGGGAACGAAAGCGTCACATTCATCCTGGGATGAGCAGGCGATTATCAAGCCTCCGCACGTTGCCGGCATCCATCAGCTAGGCCATTCACTCTGGTTAATGGCAATTGCATTACTTTCCTTGGGTCTGTTTTCAGCAGTTAGATTCGTAGTTCTGGGTGAATCTCTCCTATACTGACTCTCCAAGGCTTCCTCTATGTGTCTGTGAGGATCTATGTTCTCTGTGTGTTTGAGTGTGTGACGCAATAGTTATATAGAGGAAATAGTCTGGAGGGCTTGATGTTCATCAACAGGCTAACGTCCAGTATTAACCCAAGAGGCTCCCTGCAACTTAATGTTCAATTAAGGCCAAAACATTCGCTTTAGAGTGCAGAAGCAACTTTCACGTCATGCTCACAAGGAGGGGCACCAGTGTACAAAAAGCCCTGGTTGACTAGATGCATTTGAGTATTTGCTTCACGAATTAGGCATTTTTTGTCCCACGGTTCACATTTACAACTGGACATGAGTCAGCTCTTTGCAGCACTGTGCATATTGTCAGCTATTAGCCTGCTCTTACATGTTAGTCATAACATTTTAGATATGCTTATATTGAGGTTTCTGATTGCAAAGGCACCCCTTCCCTTAGTAAAAGGAAGTGGGCATTAAGGAAGCAAGGATGAAGTAGATAATATAACCAAGAGAGGAATGTGTTGACTAGCAAGTATAACTGAGCTAATTTTTTCACTGTAAACAAACGTAGTCACTGTGATACATTTTCCCACTGTCCTGGGTCCATGGACCAGATAAGAAGCTTGGCCACAGTTCTGCCTCACTTGGCAGAATGAAGGTTTATTCTCATTCACTTTTCTACTACTCTCTTAATGTCAACCTTCCCACCCTCAGGTGAAGCAATTCTCCTCAACCAGGCCAGGTCCCTGGACAAAGCCATAAGGATCTCAGGCAGCTGCCACTCTCCCTACAAAGTGCCCAAAAATGAGGATAGCTCAGTAACCTACTGGTAAACCAGTTCTCCAAGTGGGCAGGAAACACAAACGCTGAGTTACAGTATTTGCCCATTTCCATGATGTAAATACGCCCACTACAGCCAATTTCAAGGAATCAACAGTTTAACAGCCAGCTTTTAACATTCCTGAACATTTAACAATCCGCCAGTGAGAGTCAACTTCAGCACAGCACTACCAGATATCCATGCCCCGCACTGTCCCTGAAGGCCTCCGGGCTTAGACAGGTGGTGGGATGCCCTACGCACTTGCCGTTCAGCCCCTGGAGTTTGTGCAACAGCAGAACCCAACATGCTTCCTAATCAACATCTTGTTCAGAAAGTGTCACTTGCCATAAATATACGCTTTTAACCTGTCTCCTTGGCAGCCACCTCTGGGAGTAGGGACAGGGAATTCTTCATAAATTTCAGAGCTGGTAGATTTCAAGGGAGCAGGAGAGGCTCTTCATCCACAGGCACTGTGGAGGGAGCATGTCTCCCAATCCCCATCACAGAGGAGGAGGACAACTATCCAGCCTTTTCAGTGTTTGTCACTGTTCTGAGAGTCCAGGCCAGAGAGAAAAACAGCCTGGATTTTGTTTACATAAAGTACAAGAGGGAGAGTAAGGGAATACTGACCTCAGTGGTTTGGAGATTGGAGATCTGCACTGGTTCAGACTTGGAAACCCATCAACAGTTATTAAGGGGATTACAGGAAACATTTTGTAAGCATAAAAGCTGTTGCCAGAGGCTAGAGAGAGGAAACAAACAAAACACAGAAACAGGGAGCTGGGAACTGAGACAGGGTCAGAGACAGAAATGAAAGGGGAGAGAGACAGGAACAGATGGATAGAGATGGTACTGAACCAGAGCCTGTTAAACTTAAAAAGCCTGAGATGGACATATTTCTTTATTGATCCCAAGCTCTTGGGTGCAGTTCAAACCCCATTCAACCAATGCTCCCTATCGCCTACCTCAATTCATGGTTTAATTTTTCATCAGAGCTGACAACATACCCTCCACTTTGTTCAGACTCATAGGCCCTAGCAAAATGCTCTAACCCGACTCTGTGGCTTTCTGTAGGGCATTTCCCTTCTAGAAACATTGTCTTCCCTTCCAAATGACTTTATCTTTCCCCAAACTCATTCTAACCCTCACTTCGTCCAGACTTTCCTGGTTAACTGCCCTGGCTTTGAGCACTTTATTTCTCTCTTGCTCCCTTACCACTTAGGTGCTCAGTTTGGACAAACCTTTATCCTGGTGATCTAATACAATTCTGCAACTATTCAGTGATGTGACTGACCTTAGACAAGTCGGGTCCCTTCCTTGCACCTCCATTTCTTCAGCTGTTTGAGGAAATATCTGACTGGATGACTTAGTTTCTTTGCAGCTCTGACATTTATCAACTGTAAGCGACAGGGTCCACAAAGAACAAGATCAACGAATGGAGAAATGTGCCAATGAGAGAGGGACAGATTTATGGGTGGCCAAATGAGATCTGAGAGAAATTGATGGCAACAGTGTGGCCATGATGTGTAGTTGTCTCACTAGCTTCTCTTCCCCTCTCCCACAATAACAGTTGTCTACCCAGAGTGAAGGCTATATATCCCAACTTAATTTACTGTACTTGACTAAGTACTGGCCTAACAGACACAAACAAAAGTGATTCATAGCAGCTTCTAGGACCCTGTCTTATAAAATAGCTCATGCTCATCCTTTGTTCCCCTTTCTTCTTTAGTCCTTTCTCCATCTTGCTGCCTGGAATGTGGATGTGATGGCTGGGGCACTAGCCTCCCTCTTGGTCTATTAGGATGAGAACTACAAGGAGTTGGAAAGCTCCTGTATCCGGGAAGACGTCACAGAACAGAACCTCCCTTCCAGTTCCAAGCTAGATCCCTCTGGACTTTTCCTGAGAAAGCGATAAACTTTCTTGTTTAAGCCACAGTTATTTGGGGTGTCTGTTACTTAAAGCACAATGTAATCTTAAATGATTCAAAGGACATTCTAAGGTTGAGGAGGAATTACCAAGAAGCCCAGTCAGATGGTGAAAGGTGACTGGTGTCTGTGGCTAATAGACCACACATTACAAGAAACAGGGAAAGAGCTGGCAACAAGGGCAGTGTAATCTTCTAGTTTCTTCACTACCAGTCTCAGACATTTGTGAGCAGTTTACAAGGCCCATCTTTAAAGCCTGTCTCCAGCAAACCTCTTTTTGTCCAGCCCAGCACCTCCAGGACCTCCTGTCCTCAAAGCTCCTGGGACACTCTATATTACTTATTTGGCACTTGCCAACATGCCTGATACTGTCTTTTTGAGTGTTTCCAACTTCCAATTCCAGCTAGATTATATGCTCCTTGAGAAAAGAGATTTTTCTTGCTTTTCCCCACAGACGCAATGATGACATCTCAAGTTTTCTGGGCAGACTAGATTTCAAATATTCTGTCCTGGTGCTCCCTAAATTTAAAAAAAGTTAATGTTTAAACTACATCTGCAAAACAATCTTTTTTAACCTAATACCAGAAAAAAAAATCCCAATTTGGGACTCAGAAAATCTGATTCCCATATTCACAGACCTTCCTAGATGCTCAGTTAAAAAAAAAAAATCATTGATTTTTTTTTTCCCTTGATGGATTGAAAGTGTCTTGACAAGGGCCCAAGGGCATCTAAGTGGAGAGAATGATGTACAGGAATAGGGAATGTTACGAAGCATGACGGGAGGAGGGAATGTGATTGACAGGGTATCATCAGGACTGGGAGAAGATTCTGGGCCTAGACAGTGACCAATGGGCCATCACACAGGGAGAATAGCAGCTTTCCTGATAATGCATAAAGCCTGTGCTAGGTATCTGGGATCTTGCTTAGTGGGAAACTGGGAAGGGTCTTTTTTTAAGCGATAAAATTCATGGCCAGACTTCCTGTTAAAGGTAGTGAACTGAAGACACACATCTAATTTCACTCCCTCCCCAAGCCTCACTAAAATTACAGCAAAGGGATTGTTTACAAAGGTGTAAACCCACAAGGACAAGGCAAAATGGGAAAGGAGAAAATAGCAATAAAATTGTGGAAGCTGCAAAGTGGATGGGCAAAGAATAATGAACTTGACAGATTTGAGAAATCTAAGTGAGGAAAGCTAAAAGTCAACCTGATGTATACCACAGAATCCTCAAAATGCCCTGGCATTGGCAGCACAAAATATTTCTGGAAGTAGAGGTGAAGAGAAGTTGTCAAAATAAGGAGAACAGGTAGAAAGCTGTTTCAGGAGCAGCAGCTCTCAAACCCCCTCCATTCCAGCACCGGGCAGCGCCCATCCCCCATGCTGGCAAGAGACTGCAAGTTTACTGTCTGCAGAGGGTGAACCCGGGGGCTCCTAGGTGCCACTGTGGCAGGTTCACTCTACCAGAACAGAGAGGCCAAACTCTGGCATTCCAAGTGCTTTTCCAACATTACGAGACATTGAACAAGAGCTCATGTAAGAATTAGAAAATAGAGACCAAAAGAAAGAGAACAAAGCAACTAAAAATGTCTGAAGCTATGAAGAAGACCACTTTATAACTAGACCTCATTAGAAAGTGCCAGCAGTTCACATCCTTGGCTCCATTGGCCCTTCACTTGCCTCTCTGTGCCTGGGAAGACCGACAGCACACAGCCATGAATGTCAGTTTGAGGGGCCTTACACCATGTCTGTCCAATAGTTCTCACACTTAGCTCTCGGGAACCTGGGCTTCCAAGAGCCCTTCAAGGGCCATGGTAAGGGGAGGAGAGAGGCTGAGCAGGCAGGACTCTGGCTCCTGTCCTGCTTCAACCAATACAGCTTTTCTTGACTGGTTTTAAAACCAGAGTTTCTCGTAAATTCTTGTTTAAAAGGTAGTTCTCTTGTTTTTTAAAAAATTATTTTAAATGCTATAAGTGACAGATCAAATTCAGGCCCTATTTTTGGAGATGAGGAAACCTAGGAGCTTGTTATGAGTCAGCCTCCTGCCAGAGTTAATGCTGGCTGTGCAGTGGCCCCAGCAGATGCCAGGGCTGTCAGATAGTCAAACAAAGTCTCTGGGGCGTAGACCATGAGCTCTCTATCCCTGGAGACCAATGACCCTTCAGCCTGGTGGCTGGCCTCCTGCTGTCCTCTTCCTCCTGTTGATACTCTAGGGAAGTCCCCCCAGCCCTGAGGCCTGACAGCCCTACTGCTCTGCCCATTCTGCCAGAGACACTCCCCTGTACCCCTGACAAAACCTGAGTCTGGCTGGTGATGGAATATAAGACACTGGACAGTCTGGTCGCGGTGGCTCACGCCTGTAATTCCAGCACTTTGGGAGGCCGAGGTGGGCAAATCACCTGAGGTCAGGAGTTCAAGACCAGCCTGACCCACACAGAGAAACCCCATCGCTACTAAAAGTACAAAATTAGCTGGGCTTGGTGGTGCATGCCTATAATCCCAGCTACTTGGGAAGGCTGAGGCAGGAGAATCGCTTGAAGCTGGGAGGTGGAGGTTGCGGTGAGCCGAGATCGCGCCACTGCACTCCAGCCTGGGCAACAAGAGCAAAACTCTGTCTCAAAAAACAAACAAACAAACAAACAAAAACACTGGACATACCAGTTTTCCTGAAAAGGCAGAGAAAGGAAAGCCAAGATCACTCAGAAATGTTCTCCTTTCTAATAGGTTTGAGTCCCTGACACCGTCTATGTCTTCACTGGACTCATGCCCCAGGACATATGGATTTCCCTCCCCTCTTCCACCTTTCTGATCTTTCTTCTCCCCATTTTGAAAGCACTCTAGAGACTGGGTGATACTGCTTGTTGGCTCTCCCTGAGGGATAATGCAAACTCAGCAGACCTTATCTTGACAATTCAGTCCAAGAACTGACTCGGCAGAGGATGCCTGTGACATGCTTGCAGAAACTGGAGTAATTTTTGATGTGCTTGTACAAACTGGAGTAATTGGCCATATTGCCACCCAGTCCCGTCCTCCCCCAGCAGGCTTTGAGTACAGAGAGGGCAACCTTGTTGGTTAAATGATGTCTGTTTGGCATCATCGCCCAAGCCTCACACAACCCGGCAGAGATACAGGGGTATTTGATGATAAGACAGACACTTGGCTTGCTCTCTGATGTACTCTCCACCTCAGGTCAGCAATAAAGTCTTTGGATCTCCTGCCTTGTTTCTGCCCTCTGGAAAAGAAACAACAATACACGTACTGTTTAAGTCATTCTACAACTAAAACATAAGCTCATTGAGGGTTCGTTTTCTTGTGTTTTGTTCATGGTTATATCCCCAGTGCCTAAGATAGAGCCTGGCATGAACTGGGTATTCAATATACGTGGATGAGATGAGTGAACCAACCTTTCTGCCATGGTTTGAATGTATGTGTCCCTCCAAAATCCATATTTTGGAACCTAACACCCGATTGATAGTATTAATAGGTTGAGTGTTTAAAAGGTGATTAAGTCATGAAGGGGAGTCCTCAGAAATTAGATTGATGCCCTTATAGAAGATGTTGAAGGGAGCACCCTACTCCCTTTTTGCCCCTTCTGCCATGTGAGAGGAAGCAACAAGAAAGCATACGTCCTCACCACACACTAAATCTGCTGGCGCCCTGATCTTGGACTTTATAGCCTCCAGAACTGTGAAAAATAGATTTCTTTTCTTTTCACCAAATATATTCCCAGACTTTAAGAAGAGAGAAGTAAATTTCCTTTATTTATGAATTACCCAATTTGTGGTAATTTGTTAAAGCAGCAGGAACAAACTAGACATTTTCTCTCTCACTCTCTCCTCCTGAAAGCCTTCCCCATGAAAGTCCTGGCCCACTCTCAGAGTGAAGTCCAAGTCGTGGAGCAGGACACTTAAAAGACAGAGAATCCTGCAATCTAAGTGGAGCAGGGAAGGAGAGAAGAGAGCGCTCCCCAAGATCCCTCCAGGCTTTGTGATTAATGACTGCACCAAAGCAGCTCCCTTTAAGTCCCAGGACCATTTGCTAAGGGTGAATGACAATATGGTAATTTAGAAGGAAAATAAAATGATCAGAACCTTCGAGAGAGTTCCGGAGGGAGCTGAAGCAAGAGAATCCAAGCCTACCTCACAAATCAACCTCAGCTTCAGACTATGTGGCCTCCGAACTGGAGTCTGCCATGGTCTCCACAGATCTCTGCTATTCTCAGATGCTTTACCAAGCAACGGAGCACTGTGAGAGTAACCTCCAACATGCCAGCAGAAGTCTGTGAGGACACAGAGGTAGTGGTGGCCATTAGCAGGGAGAGGCACTGGCTCTTCCTAGCCACCTTCTTCCAGGCCCCATCACATGAGCTGACTTGCTCAGGAGGCAGTTCTCCGCATCACCTCTGCCCAACCACACTGGCAGAGCTCCTCGTGGGCCCCCACCCAAGCCCTTGGATCTATGCTGCATGGGAAGGTACACAACATCCCCAGGGCACAGAGAGTCCATGCAGTCCACGGAGCACCCTGCAACTCTTACCACTCACCTGGCTGTATGCCCAGAAAGTTGTCTGATTACCACTTTTCCTTTCCTTTCTTTCATTTAAACATTTAAAAAATAAAATAAAACAGTTTAATTCTGTCAAATTCCTGAGGTTTGCCTTGCGGTAACAACAACAAAAAGCCCAATGAGGACAAAAGACAGTATTTCTTATATGCAAGTGATCCAGATCATTTGGTGGTTGGCAAGGAATCGGGGGAGGATGGGAGGGAGTGGGCTGAAATGGGGCAGACGAGCAGCAGTGGACACAATGCAGAGTGAGAGAGAGCCACCTGGACCATATCTTCCAGGAAGAGATCTGCAGTGCTTCAGAAGCAGCATAGGAAGCCTGTGCTGCTTCACATCTTCCATCTCCCCAGTAAAACCAGTAGGTCACCTCCCATGCCCCAACCAGATGTTCCTGAGGTGTGAAACTTTTCTATGTTGTGAGTATGGATGATCCTGGAAAAAGCCT